TGTTCAAGTACTCGCAGGGACTTTTCCCACCTTTAGTGTCCTCAGTCCACCCCAGTTTGTCATATTGTCCTGCCTACCTCCTGCCATCCATGTATCACAGTCTGAAATTATCTTGCATCCTTGTTTATTGGGACAAAAGCTTGGTGATCCTGGGGACTTGCCTGTCTTCCAGAGCAGTGTCTGAAGGACCTGGCAGAGTGTCTAGCACAGAGGGAGTGGATGGGGACACCACTGCTCCTGAGATGGGGATGCAGGAGGAGAGACAGCTGTGTGGAAGGATGATGAGCTCCTTTTCGGATCAGTGTTTGGCTAACCAGTGGGAAAGTTTATGCATTCTCCAGGTGTTTGGATAATCACAGGTTCTTATGCAGGGATATTCAAATTGTGGACCTTGGACCAGGACCGTCAATGGCAGCATCACCTGGGAGCTTATTAAAATTCAGATTCCTCGGCCTTATCCCAAACTTCGAGAATCGACATCTGGGAGTGAGAATCTGTGCTTTCGCAAGCTCTCCTGTAAGCCTTTTGCATACTTCTTTGTCTTGACTCCTCATAGTTGCATCCACTTGACAAAGGTGAAGTTTGACAGTTCTTCACCCCTGTAAGCTATGATACAATTTTTTGGTATATGCAGTTTGGACATAAAAAAAATGAAAAGTTTTTATTTTTAGTGTTCACTTCTGCCATGCTCTGCTTGTCATTTAATTCTGAAACACGCAGGCAGCCAATAGGGACCAGAACAGTAGAGGGAAACTGGTGCTTTCGATGGGTGTTTGTGATCGGCACGCACAAGTGCATTATATTCCAAAGCTGTAGCACAGCCGACCCTCAGAGACAACAGGAGGGAATCTGGCATAGGTTAAGGGAACCTTCAGTGGTAAACGTATTAGAATCGGTGGTTTGCCCTAGCAGCATTACTTTAGGACCAAGTGAAAAAGAATCAACTTTGCTTTTTTGTTTTTGTAATGTCCAAACACTTTTGTGAAATGGACTTCTCTGAGACCAGGCCCACTGTCTTGTTCTGTTAGAATCTCTCTTCTTGGCTCCAGCTGTTGGGGATGCTTGGGTGACATCACTCACTGCCTTATCCAGAGAAGAGACAGATGTGAGGGCACATGTGCTCTTCGTGTTCATGGTCACCAGACTGCTCTTGTCAGAAGTACTGTTGGATGGCTAGGACTCAATTAGCCAGAAATGAGCAGTTAGACCCTTTCCTTGGTGGCAGGAGGCACAGTGTGAAGAAGAGCAGACAGAATATTCCCAGAAGCAGCCACTCTGTCACGTTTCAAGAAGCCCCAGCTGCAGAGCATCCCTGCTGGGGCAGAGAAGACTGGGTCTGTCCATGGCTGCATTTTCAGAAGAGTACACACACCAAGACCAAGGTTGCCAATAGATCTGTCCCCCAGTAATCCTAATAGGGTGTTTACCCTCTATGGGTTGAACTAGGTGAGTATCAAACATTTCAGCTCAGGGAGCACTATGAATGAAAGTGTGACACCCTCCTCCCAAGAAATTAGAATGAGAGTTGAGATTTTTCCAATTCACCCATTTACTCATTCATTCCCTGGAACTGGGCTGGGTGCGGCAATGAGATGCAAAGATGAATGAAGAACAGTTCCAGCCTTTGAAGAGCTGGGAGTTCAGAGGAGGAAAGATACAAAAAGAAAGAATTGGAGAACAGCGTAAGAGTGCACTGGAATATGTTCTCTGCTAGAGGAGACAGAGCAGAGAGCCATGGATCCTGCCAGTGGGAGCGGGGAAGGCTTCATTTTACCTGCTCTTTCTCAGATGAAGGGAGGAGAGGCCAGAGGAACAGCATGGACAACAATAATAAACATTTCTCTAGTACTAAGTATGGACTCAGCACTTGCGTATGAACTCATTTAATCCTCATGACAAGCCTGAGGTGGGCTCTGTCATCATGTCCATTTTACAGATGAGAAAACTGAGGTTTGCTAAGGCTGATAAGACTGTCTAAGGTCATGCCGCTAATAAGTGGGAGCCTGGCTCCAGAATTCAGGCTGTTAACCACTGTTTGACATGGCTTCTCACTGTGTGTGAGCATGATACCTGGAGAATTTTGAGTGGAGAACAGTGGTTTTGAATTTCTTTTTTTCCTATAGCCCACTTAGAAAGAGAAACCAATTTAACCCACTCATCCCCACTTTCTGGTGGAAGAAACATCTCTGTAATAAAGCTCTGGAGAATGTAGCAGTTTGCTAGAGCTCCTATAACAAAGACCACAGACTGGGCGGCTCAAACACCAGATACATTCTCATCATTCTGGAGGCTAGAAGTCCAAGATCAAGGTGTCAGTAGGGTTAGCTTCTTCTAATGCTCTCTCCTTGGCTTGTCGATGGCTGTCTTCCTTTGGTGTCTTTACGTGGTCTTCTTTCTGTGCATGTCTTTGTCCTAATCTCCACTTCTTATAAGGACACCAGTCATACTGGATTAGAGCCCATTCCAATGACCTCATTTAACCTTCAAGACCCTATTTCCAAACACAGTCACATTATGAGGGAGGAGGGGTTAGGACTTCAACATATGAATTGGTGGGGGGAGGAGCTATAATTTATTTATTTTTTTAAAGATTTTATTTATTTATTTGACAGAGAGAGAGACAGTGACAGCAGGAACACAAGCAGGGGGAGTGGGAGAGGGAGAAGCAGGATTCCCGCAGAGCAGGGAGCCCGATGCGGGGTTCGATCCCAGCACCTTGGGATCATGAACTGAGCCGAAGGCAGACGCTTAACGACTGAGCCACCCAGGCGCCCCGAGGACCTATAATTTAGCCCATAAGAAAGAGCAACCAATGTAAACAAATTGTACTGTGAGCTTTTACACATGATTTTATATTATTAAACAATGCCCTAGAAACTTTTAAAGTACTTTTTTGACACTGTCCTTGGTGGTAGTTGTAAATACATTTACACGCACCCTGTTACCAATGATGTATAACTTTAAATTGGGTAAGGGCGGCTTCTGTGTACAATCTCTTTAGCATACGGTTGGAATAACTTACATATGAACATCCTCATGTCTTTAGTGAGTGGAAAGCTACAGGTCAAGTGCCATAAATATGCTTCCCTATGTACTGTATGTAAGGATAACCAAACAGACGTCCACCAAAAACGATCTATAATTAAAGGGCAAGAATAACACCAGTGAAGACTATGACTACCTGGACACCACACCGAGGCATTGGTAACAAAAAGTCCAGTCAGAAGTGTAGGAATTGGGGGTGCCTGGGTGGCTAGTCATTAAGCATCTGCCTTCGGCTCAGGTCATGATCCCAGGGTCCTGGGATTGAGCCGCGCATTGGGCTCCCTGCTCGGCGGGAAGCCTGCTTCTCCCTCTCCCCCTCCCCTTGTTTGTTTTCTCTCTCTCTGTGTCTCTCTCTGTCAAATAAATAAATAAAATCTTTAAAAAAAAAAAAGAAGTGTAGGAATTCTAGCCACTGGAACTTGCACCTGTGCTTCATAGCCCTGCGTAGCTGCTGGATTTCTCAATAGAATGGTGAATCAGAACCGTTAATGAATTCTTACTATTACTAAATGTTGGTAATTTTTAGTAACTCATTTTATAGTTTCATCATAAGTAGCTCTTATTCCTTGATCTCAAGACTAATGTGAGCCTCTGGAATTGTCTACCTTTTGCTTATAAGAGCTGTAGAAAGGAAACTAAAGTGAGTATGAATTCTGTGTCCACAATATTAGAGATATTCCACTCTCTCATTTCTGTACATCATATTTAATTGGCTGCAAGCCATGCATAACCTGGCTCTTAGTCATTATAAGGGCTCCCTTTCCTTTACCTTGCTCAGCCTGCCTGATGAGGTCAAGCCAGATTCTGATGGAGGTGATGCTGGGATCCAGGGAACCCAGTGCTTACACTATGTTGAATGGCCTCATAGCCATTCTGGGACCAGGGAAAAACTGGTGACATGCCCTGCTTACAGCGCTCCATTCCCAGGATCACTGACCTGCCAAGGGGACGTTCAGCCATGATGCCCAGGGTCCAACCCCTGCAAACATCCAATAACCACCATCTGCCATCTAGGGACCATGTAATGGAAACCCAAATCAAAAATCCTCTCCCACGCCTTCCTCACCTTGCTCTTTGTTTTAGGGAGTTTCAGCATGCCTTTCTTTTGAGCTTTCATTTCCCTTGTCAAAGCAGTAATGGCTCCCTCCCAGCCATTGATGTGAAACTCAAAACTTTTTTATTTCGGGGCATCTGGGTGGCTCAGTCAGTTAAGCGTCCAACTCTTGATCTCAGCTCATGTCTTGATCTCAGGGTTGTGAGTTTAAGCCTTACATTGGGCTCCACCTGAGCCTACTAAAAACAAAACAAAACAAAACAAAAAAACAACCCACCTTTTTATTTCACTTCACAATGTATTAGTACACTGGTGCAAATGGAGTGCATGATTTTAATACCATTTGGAGACCACTGCTGAGGATGGCTGGGAATCATTAAAAAGCTTCTAAGAAGAAGCATGACATAATCTTTTTTTAAACAAAGAAACACCTTAAGATGGACTCGATATAGGGTGATCTTAAGAAATTATATAATGGAATTGCAGTTGCACAGAAAAATGTCCTTATGTTTTAGAGATTCATACTGAAATACTTATGGGTGAAATGTCATGATGTTTGTTATTTCCTTTCAAATGCTTTGGTGAAAAATTTGTGGGAAATACGGCAACTGTTTATCATTGTAAAGCTAGATGAGTTACATGGGCATTCATTATACTGTTTCCTGTTTTTCTGTATGTTTTCAAAAGCTTTTTATAGTAGGAAATGCAGAAATAAACCCCTCTGGTGGCTCTCTAGGGGTTAGGCCTGAGGGAAGTCGGGAGCCAAGTTAGTGAGGAGGCGAAGGCAGCAATTCAGGTGACCACTGATGAGGGGCGGAGCTAAAACCGAGGCACCGCGACACAGAGAAGGCTGTGGACTGAAAGGTATCATCTGGTCTGTTCTCTTCCCTCATTCCCACAGTCCAAAGTGCTTCGGGAAAAATGGCTGCTGCAGGGTATCCCCGCTGGAACTGCCGAAGAGGAGGAAGCCAGGAGGCGGCAGTCTGAGGAAGATGAGTTCAGAGTCAAACAACTGGAAGATAACATCCAGAGGTAGGTGGTTCCCAGCGCCCGCACTACCGCCCCCAACCACCTCCCCGCGCCTGGGTCTTACAGTGCAGTAACCGCTACTGTCCTCTAGGGGGCCCTTCTCCGTGCCGGCCCCTTTGCCCAGAGCTTGGGAATTCTCTTCCTAAAAACAGAGTACATTGGTTTCGTTTTAACGTTTCCAGATAACCCCGAGTTATTACTCTAAGTACTAATTACTGTATGGGGCTGTCATTCGGTACGGTGATGTTTTCCCTGAACAATGAGGTGTTGGAAGCAGCTTGCCCCTTCACTAAACGACCACCTTTTGAGTTCTTCCCCCAGCTTTTGTCTTTTTCCTCCTGTGAGTCAGGCTGTTAGCTGTTACTGCTGCTGCAGTGGGTCTGTTTCCTACATTTGATCAATCTGAAGTGGGGAAACGGTAGCCAGGGGTCTGAGAACGATAGACGTGCTGAATGAGGGCAGCACTGTGAGTTATGTGCCTGCACTCTAAAAATTAACTTTGTATTGTCTGCTTGCACTGCTCAGAGGGTGAGTTGGTTCCTTTATGGTTCTCAACCAAGTTCTGAACATTTCCGTCTGGGAGATAAGTGACCTTCCTGTGGCCAGTGGTTGACCAGGCTCACACAGGAGCAAAAACATAGGTTTGCGCTTAAACACTGTAGTCATACCAGGTCCCAGGACACGTAGCCAGAGATATGAGATGGGGGTGGAAGGTGGTGATCAGAGATGCCTTAGAACCAAATCTCCCTCTCCACCCCATCTCACCAACCCCACCTCAAATCTCAGCCTCAAGAGCTTCATCTCTTTCTCCTGAGGGTGCAAGCTCATTTAGAATAAAAGGGCAAGAGCTACCTCACTACCAGCCTTTATACCCAAGCATGAATAAGGACTGTGAAGAGTCCTTAGGGACTCCAGTAGTGTCACCAGAGGGAAAAGCAGACTGGCCCTAAGCCCTAAAGGCCTGGGGCCCTGTTTGCTTCGGCCCTAATGTCCCTTGAAGAGTTCTCAAGAGCAGCTTAGCTAAATTTTGCTTATGGGGGAAATTCACTAAGAAGAAGTTTGTATGTGATGTGCATATGTGTGTGTGCATATACACACATACATATATGTGAATATATACACATGTGCGTGCGCACACATATGTGAATATGTGTGTACACGTGTGCACATACACAGGCATGTGAATATGTGCACACACATGTATATATGTGGATGTGTACATGTGTGCATACACACATGCGTGCATGCGATTGTGCACATGTGTGTGATCACACACATGCACGTGTACATGCATGTGATTGTGCACATGTGTGCATGTGCACACATATGTGTGTGAATGTGTGTGCACATGTGTGCATACACACACACATTTTTAGCATACAAAGGGTAAAGGCTTAACTATTACCAACCATTTTAGATAGATAGCTAGTTAGATCTCTCTGTATATATCATTAGAAGAAGAAATCTTAGTCCTGGAAATAGGACATCACCCTGGTGAGGACAAGTACCTCTAGGAAGTAGGAAAGATCTCCTGTTAGAAGCCCAGAAGGTAGAGGGGGAAGGGGCAGGAGCCAGTCACTCAGAGTCCTGAGCCTCGGGAGTTGCTCTCCTCCCAAGTGGCTCAGCTGGCTGTCTCTTAGACAAGACGAGGGAGCCAAGGATTGTTGGAAATACTGACAACAAGTTGGGGAGGAAAGGCCACTCGGAGAAGTGGTTTTACAGGACGTCTCAGAAGTGGCAAGTCCATGGTGCTTTCAGCTGTAGGTGACAGTTGATATAATACAGTGGCATCGCTTTGTCTTTACTCTTGTTAAAGGTTCCGTTGTTTTCCTGTCTCTTTCTCACTGGCTGTACATACTCACCTCAGACAGGTCTGGCGCAGAGCAGAAGCTCCACAACTTTTTGTTGAATGAAGAATTGGGACCGGGTATACCACATCTCAGGGAACCCCTGCCCGGCAGAGGAGGCCTGGAAGATTATTCTCCAGGCTAACTTCATCCTAGCAGCCAAGTGGCCTGAGCACAGTCTATTCACTACCTCGGATGTGAAGGGAGGCAGTGCACACACTGAGGGGCAGAAAATTTTGTTTAAAATCATTTTTCAGACACTGGGTATATTTTCTCACTGAACCTGACCTGTTCATTCATTTCATCCATTAAGTGTCATAGATGGAATGCAGAAAGGATTTGGAAAATAGGATATAATTCGTTCTATGACCTTTTCTGTTTCGTTTTTGTTTTTGTTTTTGTTTTAATGGCATTAGAAAACGTGGTCTTCCTACCAAATTGGCAGTTTGGCTTCGGCTTGCGTATTCATATACCATTATTTTGGCCTCACAGGTGGTAACCTTTACCTGTGGGATGAGCCATCACATGGAGGGAGGATCTTAAATTGAGACTCAGTTTCGGCTAAATTGACTCCCGGAGTGAGGAATAAGAGTTAGGGGCTGGTTTATTGTTTATGTGAGCATCACCATATTCAGAAAAATAAGGAGAATCTCTTTTTATCTTTTGAGTCAACAGAATAAAGAGCTCAGTCATGTATGCAGGCAATCTCTTGGAGCCCATTAAAGAGACAGATAGCCAAGCCAGAAGGAAAGAAATCACAGCAGCCTAAAAGGGCGGGGATGCAGGTGCTTAGGCCTGGATTCAGGGGGCATTTCCTTCTGCTACAGTCACGGCTCTGCTGGGCTGTGGCCATTTGCTGGGGGATGAGCTATGTTCCCTGGAGCAGGGCTGCCGGTGGGCATCAGTTCTTCCTCAGAGCCTCTGGAGGGAGGAGCGTCTTCCTACCCTGGAAGTCAGTTTCTGCTTCTTCTCATCTTACTCGCAACTTGTCTACTGGAGAACCGTTAGCATCTTTAAGTTCCAGTGCCCAGGGAAGAAAGGAGCTGTCCTGCCTCTTCCCTTAAAGGACACTGAGCCACCTAAGCTGCTTTCCTTAGTCAGGCATGGGTTAGTTTGCTCTCTCAGTCCTATAGCCCCTTGGACAGCCCTAACGTCTCATTGGAAGCACAGGCATCCTGCAGTCTTGCAGTCTGTGTGGATGGGCTGTTGTGGCTCTGCTCGTTTTGGCTGAGCTCAGCTAGGTGACCCCAAGACATAGGTTGGACGAGTCTGTGCTTTCTTCCCCCCGCACTAATGAGCTAACCATGACTGTTTCCTTTTATGGCGGTGGCAGAGGAGCCAGGGAACTGAGAGGAAACAGAACTGCCCATAAGCCATTAGCCACAGCAAGTCATGGCCACCCCCAAAACCAAGGCGGGGAGACAGACAGTCCACCTGTGGTGGAAGGAACTTCACAGTTGTGTGGCAGAGGGCACAGATGCAGGGAAGGATGAGAAGGGGGGCTAATAATTCACTCTTCCAGAGGCGTGATTGTTCAAGAGAAAACTGCAAGCATTAGCGAAAGCATAGAAAAGCGAATTCATGAGGAGGAAGATGAGCTAAAACAACTTGAGAATTCAGAGGGACAGGGAGAAGAGAATGAGAGAAAACAGGAATGGCGTTGAGATCAAATTCAGATTCTGATCTTTATATAATAGGAATCCCAGAAATTGGCTACAGATCAAATGCAGAAGAACCACTAAATAAAGGAATTCTAAAGGGAGCTTTCTTTGTTTGAATCAGAATATCAATCTTTAGATCTTTAGATTTGAGTCCACTAATCTAAGTCACTCCTGAGTAGTAAAATAAATTCTCCTAAAGAGATATGCGTGGGACGCCCAGGTGGCTCAGTCGGTTAAGCATCCAACTCTTGATTTCAGCTCAGGTCATGATCTCATGTGAGATCGAGCCGCATGTCAGGCTCCATGCTGTGTGTGGAGCCTGCTTAAGATTCCGTCTTCACCTCCCTCTGTCCTGCCTCAGCCCGCTCACTCTCGCTAAAAAAAAAATCTTAAAAAAAAAAAAAAGGCAAACTGTTTTCAAACCATAAAGTAGATTAGTACCGTTGTGCCCTGAAGGTATTTTAGTCCCTGCTGGTGAACCAAGAGTAGCTTGAAGAACCTGAAGGAACAATAGAGAATAGTAACTAAAAAGCGGGGAGAATGCATACAAGGACAGATTAAGGGACATCTGTGTCATTTAAGTTTCGAGAAAGAAATGGTAATAGCACCCTAACTCAGAACCTCAGTGTAGGTCGGATTTAGGCCATGTCTTAATTCTTTATGTCTGAATATTTAATTAATATTAACTAAGTTAATATTAATTAATTCTTGAAGTCTGAATATAATAAAGACTTCAAATAAAGCACGAGAATTTGCACTTAAATGTGTCTCTTTCCTTAGATATCTTCAGGAGGAAAGAACATGACCATATTTCCATTCCTGAGTCTATAATTCTTTATAGTGCCAGTAGTCATACAACGAATTCCAGGTTTCTGGGCATGTCTTTTACCAAAGTGTTATTTGTAAATTGGTGGTTGTTTGGAATGAAGAATATTGTCTCTCTTCCAAGAATGTTATATGTGGTGCTTAGATTTTGAAGGCAGCACATAAGGAGAGATGGAGGGAGGGAGGAAGGAACTAGAGTATTAAATCCTGGGCATTAGAATCACCTGGGAAGCTTTTTTAAAAAATATAGATTCCCAGGACTTTTTCCAGAAAATTTGGATTCAGTGACCCATGTGAGGAGCCCTGGAATTTATGCTCTTTTAAAGAGTGCTCCTGATCATCTGTGTAAATCACAGTCAGGTTCAAGAAAGATTTCTGTAAATGGAAAAAGAATAGACCACAAATAAAATGTAATTAACTAAGAGCACAATAGAACTGCAGTGATTACATCACAGCAGTGGGAAAGGAAGGAGAGGACTGGTCCCTACAGTGGATAAATAGATGGTCATTTTTTTTGCGCAACTTTTCCCTGGGCAATGTCAGGATAGCTCAGTCTACTCGTTATATTTTTGGCTCTCTAGAAAGCAAAAGTAAAATTAGCTAAATATGGTCAGCATTGTTGAAAGCAAAATCTGCACAAAGATCTCTCTCTTTTTTTTTTATTTCAAAT